AAACAGTTACTGAGTCAATAGAGTTCAAAAACAGTGAAACTCATTATTAAAAAAACAACTTGAGATTAGAAAGTGTTTTATTAACTGAAGTGTTAATTAACTCTGTAGAAGTTTAGAGTGATTTTATAAAACCTACTTCATCCCTTTTCTTAAGTTTTTCTCAGCCCTTAGCTTTTGGAGAGACTTGGATAATGAAGTGGCCCATTCTCGGATGGCTTTTCTCTGATTGTGAACCCAAACTGTGTATGATTCAATACTGCATAAGAGCCATGGAAACACACAATATTCATCTGTCATCTGTCTTCCCAGTTCTTCAAATGCATTCAAATATGAAGTTGTCAGTAGCCTTATCTTACATGTGAGCACTTCCTATAATACACAGAGAAGACATCTTTCAGTGTCCACTGCTATTCCTGTGATGAAAGACTCTAGACAGTGGGGTTCAGTGGACCTATCAGGATAAGGAAAGCCTAGTTTTAAGTCCTGTCTATGTCCCCTGAATAACTAATGACCCAAGTAAGTTATTTAGCCTCTCTGATCCTGCTTCCTCATCTGTAAATCTGTATAATAATACTTTACAGTGTTACTCTATAAATTAAATTAGATAAGACTCTAGGACATAAAATGGAATTTCCTTGATGGTACCTGCTGTTTTGCCAATTTGCAGTCAAAAAAAGAAGACAATAGAAAGGCATTCTGAAATACTGAGATAGATTTCATGTGTTTACAAGAGACACATTCCTTGGCTTGTACATGTAGACCAAGATGGCCCTTTACCAGGGACGTGTGTGACTTTGTATGACCAGTGGGATCACCTAAATGTGTTTTCCAACTCCACATAGATCTTTTCCCAATTCCTTGGTCTCTCTCAAAAGCTCTGTGACAGGCCTCACTAAACCTGGGGGAGCTGCTCTTCTAATTGTTGAATTTCTAGATTGTGAGTATGTGGTGATATCTTTGCTACCTTCCCCAACCCATTTCCAAAGCCCAGTTTGCTTGTGGCTTGCTGTTCCCTACTTCCAGGTATTCAGGAAAGTCGCTGCCTCTGCCACCAGTTTGGCGCCCTCAGCAGCATCCAATCCCACAAGCTTGTGCTCCCTGGCAGCGCGCCTGCAGGCAACACACTTGTTCCCCCACCCTTATCAGAATGCTCATCACTTCCGTGAGGCATGTATCAGGAAAGAGGGAAACTAGCTAATTCATACTAAGAAGCAAGTTACTGTTAGCTCTATGCTATAGGTGGGACACTTTATTAAAGGGACTTGTTAACACCTGGTGAGGGAGGAAGTTCAGGAAATGAGGGGAGGGCCATTATCTGGGAGGGCATCCCTCCTAGAAAACTACCTTTTCTGTCCGTATCAGGTGAGCGAATGTGTTCAAATCTGGAGAAAAGATGAGAAGTCTGGTTTTTTGGTCTTTTTGCTCTCCAAAGACTAGGTCTTCCATCAGCACCCCAATCTCCTCTACTTTTTTTCTAACAGTCACACCCCAGGCAGGCACCAAAATGGGGAAACTCTATAAAGCCATATTGTATTATTAATCCTCATCCCTAAGGTGACGAAGCATCTCATTGGTTTCTACTGGGAGCCTCCAAGACTATACATTCAGCTCTGACGATTGGCTAGCTAGAAGGACTCACAGAAGTCAGAAAAGCTGTTATACTCAGTGATAGGTTATTACAGCAGAAGGATACAGCCTAAATTCAGCAAAGGAAAAAGTCACAAAGGACAAAGCCCAGGGAAACCATGCGCGCGCTTGTAGTGGTTCATTCCCAGGACAGTTGCACGGACAGTGCTTCACTCTCTTAGCAACGTGTGTCAAGTGTTGCCAACCAGGGAAGCTCACCCACGCTTTGGTGTCCAGGAATTTCACTGGGGGTCAGTCAAGTCTCCATAGAGCACCCCTACACCTGACCTCAGTTACTCAGCCTCCAGTCATTCTATAGGTCAAGCTGATACAGCATGGCCCAGGGCCCCAGGTGAACCAAATTAGGCATTCACAATAAATCACATTGTTACTGTAAACCAGCTGGCATTACCTAAGACCCCAGGGATACAAAGACACTAGGATGAAGCAGGATATTCCAAGGATGTAGAGGTTACCTCCCAGGAGCCAAAGGCAAGTCCTTTCTTTGGCATGTTCAGGGTTTGACCATCTCGAGCCGTCTGAGTCAACCCTGTTTGCACATTTGTAATAACCAAAACACGGTGCATGGAAGCGAAGCCCACTTTTAATATGCTTGTTTCATGATCCATGCTGAGGTAAGATTCCCTTAGGGGCGCTGAGCGATGTGGCTTCACCCAGGCTTTCAGTGTAAATAAAATGCGAATGTAAAGACATTTGGAAGAATAAAATTTGAAACACAGGCCAATTTCTTTTACATTTACCTAAAATGACTTCAGAGTTGCTGTGCGGTAAGCAGGCCTCCAGCACAAAACTGAAAGGGGGCGGACATTCAGCGGTGGTTTATAGTGCTATAAAACAGTAAACATCTTTCCTATATAGGAAAACATTATATGACAAGGGGAAGCACCATTTCAGAATAAATGGGTCTCTTCTTTCAGTTTGAAAAGCACTGATCAGGCCTATAGTTTTAAACCATGTTATTACCCAGCCCAGGCAGAGGCAGCCGTAACAAAGAAAGCCACAATCCTTTCTTAGTTCAGTTCATGGAAAAGTTAGATCATTGGAATTCCTCTCCTCACACTTCTCTATCAAATAAATTACTCAGCCACATAGCAAATACACATACAAATTTATTTTTAAAAGTATATTCCACAGCTAAAAAATGTCCAGGTCCCCATCGTTTGGTGGCTAAGGGCGTGAGCTCTGAAATCTAAGTTTTCATCATGAGATGGAATTCTCACTCCTTTAGTTATGTCCTACATCTCCATGCCTCAATTTTCCTCTCTGTAAAATGGGGACAATACTTATTTTAAAGGTTTAATTTTAGTAATGAAAGTGATAACGTGTGTAAAATGTTTATAGTGCCTGGTGTGCAGTAAACTGTCAATGAATATGGACCATCATTGAGCTACAATTATAATTTGAAAATTATCAGACAAATAGCTTAGAGGCAGCTCAGCTTTGCAGCTGAGAGCACAAAACCTTGCACCAATTTCTCAGGTTTGAATCTTGGCTCTCCCACCACCAGTTTGAGAACATCATTTAACCTTGTTATTTCTTCATCCAGAAAGGAGTGAAGGTTATGGTGAAGATGCAATGTTTGCAAAGTATTTAGAATAGCACCTGACATAACAAGTGCTCGATAAATGTCAGCTATGATAATTGAGTGCATTTTAAGAACTCATTCTGCCCATAGACTACTCTCCCTCAATTACATCAAATGAGTATAGCAGAGTAGAGTGATGAAGAACATGAGTGATAGAATCAGGCAATCGTGGGTTCAAGACTTGGCCATGCAGTTAATTAGCTGAATGGCCTCGGACTGGTCACTTATTTTCCCTAAGCCTCAGTTTTCTCATCGACCAAATGGATTATATCAGCCTTAAACTAAAATGGTCAAAACATTTTTAATATTTAACAATTACCACCACCAATCTAATTTCTATATGTCAATCATATAATTATGAGTAAAACGATGTATCATAGACATACATCTTAAAATCTTGGGATTATAGGGTTCTCACAAAAGTATACTTTAAGGCATACAATAACATTAATTTTTTCAGCAAAAAATTTATTAAAATCTTTTATATGCCAGGAACTATATCAGCCACTAAAGGATGAAGTAGAAGTTTCTACCAAGAAACCTACATTCTTATTGTGAAACAGATGTAAAAACAAATGACTATAAATAGTACATACAAAATAGCCAATGATAATGATTGCACAGGATAGTAAGGATTCAAAGTAGAGATATTCCCTAGACTCAAACTCTGATAGCATGCAAGGTGTAGTAACTTTAACCTTTCCACCTCTATCAAGACATGCTCAACACATACATAGTAAATATTGAATGAATCACCGGATTTGGGAAAATCATGTGATAATCTTCATTCTTCATCCTGGATTCTTGATTGAACTCCATCAATTATTGACTACATGTATGACCCTACCCAAGTCAATATACTGTCTGGAGGTCAGTTTTCCTACATAGTAAATAGATTTATCTATCTGTTCTGCTTATTTTATGAGTGTGTTGAGAATTTCAAATATATTTGAAGTTGCTATAAAAACCCTCAAGTAAAATGTGAAGGCATTGTAAGATTTTTATCCTTAAAGAAAACCACAGGGCAGTATGTTTATATAAAATGCTAGAAGTATTATGTGAAATTTTACACACGAGAGTAATTTCATGAGGATGGGAAGAATGACATGCCCGGCCCCCAAAAGGAATGACTACTTACAGTCTCTATCAGGAAAGCAAATGCTGAAAAAGCATGCATATTCTGAGGAAGTTACATATGTCTGTTCTTCAGAGGGTCCCCCCAGGTCTCCTGTTCAATTTAATTCCATGACTACCATCTTCTTGACTCTGGTGAATGGAAGTGACCGACACAACTATAGTTATCTGGAAATCACCTGTTGGTTTTACTTCCAGCAGTTTCTTTCCACCAAATATAAACAAGAGGTTGATAAATAGATATAAACACCAGAAACAAAATCTGATATTAAAATATTGAACTTCAGTAGCTTTTAACTCAATAGAGTTGATCTTAAATTAACACTGTGTTTTAACATAGAAGACACTGCAAAAATATTTGTTCTCTAAAACAAGTCTTCTGTGGCTGATCTGAGTTGCATGTTTTTTTTAAGAACTAAAACAAAGCAGAGCCATGACTCCAATTTACTCTGGAGTATGAGGCATTATTTTAGAGAGACATAGTTATTGGAGAATGAAAACTGTTCAGCTGGAGAATAAAATGGCTGTTGAGATCAGACAACTAGGGGATAAGGAAGCAGGCAGAGTGATTCCACAAGTAAAGGAAGGTAAGTAAAGATGGAATTGAAAATGTGGTGTGCGTTTTCCTTCACAGACTGAAGCGGCTCTGATGTATGATGCTGTGTACATGGTGGCCATTGCTTCTCACCGGGCTTCCCAGCTGACCGTCAGCTCCCTACAGTGCCATCGACACAAGCCATGGCGCCTTGGACCCAGATTTATGAACCTGATTAAAGAGGCAAGTGTGGCTCACTTACAGTCCTGTTCTTTCTTGAGCTTAGCACTGTTTGACTTGTCCATTTGTGTGGTCCTCCTCATATGGCTCTGTTGGCATGATGTCTACAAGGGAGGAGAAGCCATCTTCAACCAGATTGGCATTTTATTGGTAAAAGTTTGTCTAGAACTACCAGAAATTTTCCAGTGTGATGATGAGAAGTTTAAAGATGCTACCAGATCATAACATTCACCCTCCTTGATTTCAACTACGGCCTCTCCTGCTGCTGGCCCTCCCTCCACACATGTTTATGGAGCTCATGGGTACTTATTCCAAGACCTGTTGAGTCGAGGAGTGGGTTGTACATCACTGAAGGGGCCAGAGACAGTTTCTACTTTGTCAGCCCATAATCCAGTGGTCTACTAAGTATTGGGTTGCACAGATCTGAACAGAAGGAATTCTTGGTCTAAGTGATATTCTGATTATTGTGCCATTTATCAGCTAACTGGAAAAGTTCAGTCCCATTGAAAACCTACCCAGCACAGGAAGTATTTATCAAGAGGACAGAGTATTTGTGGAAGGAGAGTTCTTCCCTATGGCCCTAAGAGTCTGGACTATTCCTGATCCTTTCCTCTTCTTTGAGGCAGTTTGACTTCCCTTCCCAAGACCCTGTTTTAAGATCTCAAAACATTTATGGATTTGTAGCCTTGTATTATCTTTGACCCCAGCATACACCTCAGGGGGATCTGAAATTGACAAGGTGAAATAAGATAGTTGGGAGCAGTCAGGCCTGACTGAGTGCACACCATGCTCTGTGAGGCTGCCTTGACGCTTTTTCTATGGGATGCAGAAAAGTACACCTCCTGTGAAGATTATATTTATTCCTCTCAGTACTGAAGAAGGTTGGGGCGAGACAAAGCTATACAAGAAAAGAATGGGAGGAAACAAAAAACCAAGGGAAAAATGCCCAGCAAGAGCAAGGGCAAAATCCCAAAGAAAGATGCCAGCTTTGGCCACTATCTCTGCTGGTCTCGTCACCACCTACAGACTCTCTCTCAGGCGGTTCAATCTACTTCCCCATTAAAAGATGATTCTGATCCATAAGGGTGAGGACCAGAAAGGCAGGATGGATGAGGGTTAACAGTACCCAGGCTCCAAAGCAAGGCTATTTGTAAGGCTGGGATGAGGACATAGAAAGCAGCAAAGAAGTGCCTTGAACACATGATTTAAGGAAGCATTTACTCTGAACTTTGCACTCATAGGAGACTAAAAGGGAGTGCATCCTTAAATTTTGTGTTCTAAACCTCTCTCTTACCTCACCTAGTCCTGGCCTGGATGCTTGGGTTTAAATCCCAGCTCTAATAACATTTATGGACAATGTCACCTGGACAAGTTACTTAAACTCCTTGTGTCTCAGTTTTCTCATCTGTAAAATGAAAGTAACATCTTCTAGCTCACAGCATTATTGTGAGGATAAAGGATGAGGTAATACTTGTGAAGAACCATGCAGGAAGATAGTAAGAATCTGATATATTAGCTCTTCTCTTACCACTGGAATGGACCACTAATAACAGCCTCATTCCGTTTCCTGAGGATGATGCCAGGAATTTAAAACTGGAAAAAACAAGACAACAAAGAAAGCACAAATAGGCATGAAATAAAATGCCTTTTCTGCCAGCTACATAAATCTGACACCTATGTCTAACAGAAAAATATCACGCAGCCTTTCCTCTCCCTGTGGTGATCATGGTTAGGTCCTGAATCACCATCGTGATCACCTTGATCTTAACCAAGCAAACAGCTGGTTTCCTTTCATCCCCTACCAGTGCAAGGAGAGGCATGAAGTAACATGAAAGCTGGAGATTAGACTCTTGGGGTACCCCCATGCCCCATTTTGCTTCTATTTAAGTTGCTTAACAAGGTGAAATTAATAAACCACATGTAGGCGTATTTTAAGAAATAATGACCTCCAAGATGAAGGACCACATTGAAAGCAAAAAAGCATTTTACATACATTTACTCCAAAGAGTAAAGTGCACCCCCCCCCCCGGCCCATGCTCAGATTCCACAGTTGGAGGTGGAAGGGACGCTGTAGAAATCTTTATCACCCTCGTGCCCATCCTTTCTGTTGTCTCCTGAATCAGGATGCCATATGCTACCTTTGGCAGAATGTAGGTACCTGCAGAGAAGGTGGAATGGGGGAGGGGGGGGGGAACCAGCAGCAATGCCCCAGCTTTGAATGCCCCAGTTGAAGAACTGGCACTGAGGGAATTCTGAGGCCAACTGAAACATGCAAAAGTGATAAAATGCAGAAGTTTCTTTCAAGAAATATATAATTCAACAAAACTGCAGGTATCAGGCTTTATTGGGAAACATGAAATAAGGTACTACCTTTTAGTAACTACCATTTTCTAAACAATTCCCAAAACTATAATTAGAAGTAATGTAAAGGAGCAAGTCAGCAGGTTGAATTTATAGGTAGAGATTGAATTTGTCACAGGAGGTACACTTCCCAAGCAGAGAAGTATATAGTTGCATGTGTACTGAGTCCTAACTCCATCCATCATTTAGAATCACTAAGCCTTTCTGACAGGTCTCTCAGGCTACATGTCAATGTTTTAGGCTGACTAGAAAGAGGGAAAGAATTAAAGAACATTTTAAACATGATGGAGTGTGTTATAGTATCATCTCTCTGGGCATTTGCTAAACAAATGCATTTTAGGAGATTATAAATTCCCACTCAACAAGCATTACTGGGATTCCCAAGCACAACTTGGCTCCCTCGGGAAATATCTTCCCCCAAATTAGAAGATGCAGAGTCTGTTATCTGCTAATACAAATTCTACACAGTGAGGAATGGCAGGCTTCATTTACAGCTTTCCTGTGCCTCAGGATAAACCCTCCACTCATCAGCAGGATATGCAAGCTCACTGGTGACCTGCTTCCTGATCCCCTAAGCCATCTTTCTCATCTCCTGCCCCACCCCCAACATGTGCTGAACCTATTGCAGCTCCTTGAACTTGCCATATGCTCCTACCAAATTATTTTGCCACCAATCGGAATGCCTCTGCTAGGTCATCCTTTATGTCCCAGCTTCAGCACCAGCTCCTATCTGCTGGCCCTGACGCACCAATTTTGGCTCTTTATTAGGTTGTTGTCAAACCATCATATTTATTTGGATGTCTATCTCCAAGCTGTGCTTTTCCAGTCTCGAGTCCCTAGTTCTTGCACAACACTTGGCATAGAATGAGCACCCAGTAAATAGATACCAATCAAGTGAATGAATGAATAACTGAAGAACACATACAAGCTATATGCAAGTGCCATAAGACACACTCCGTACGTGAATATCATGTGTAGAAACAATTTAATAAGGTAGAGCTAGGGCTTGGACTGGATTTGTCTACCAGGCTCCTAGTTCTGATGGGAGAATGTGGCAGGGGTCTCAGGAATAGGCCAGCCTTCATAACACTAGATGTAATCACAGATTACTAGATGTAATCACAGATTACTATCTGTGTGAACTCAGTCATTTAGTGTCTCTGTTTCTCAGTGCCCTCGTTTATAAAATGGGTATAAATAACCCACTCATATGTTTGTGGGAGTTCCATATATGATATAGTACAGCCTAGCAAATGTCTGGCATGCAGTGGTTGCTCAATAAAGCATAGCTCCCATTAAATGAAAGGTTCTGCTAAAAATGTTTATCATGTAAAGTGGTTGTCAGGAGGAAATGAGGCAAAGCCCATAGAACATTTAGTACATTGCCTAGCATGTGTCAGCACGGCGAGCTTGCTATTGTTGTTATTGGCATCATCATCATCATGTTATTATCGGAGCCCAAGATGAAGTAGCAGTGTTTGCAGAGGAGGAGGACAGAACCTAGTAGTGAAAATTCAGGAGTCCCACGGAGATAGGCGTGCAGCATACAGAAGGCCAGTAGCAATGACGCCAGGGAGTGCGGGAACGTTCCATCACCGAGCACACACATGATTGTTCAGAAGGGGCCCGAAGGCATTAGGCAATCATCAGCCAGGCTAAACCACCAGGAAACCCTGGCACACCACAACTCAGATCCGGCTGGGAAATGGTAGCTGAATGTGGGGGCTGAGGAAGCAGAAGTACTTCCTGCCTGAGATCCAGATTCAGAGGAAGTTCTCGCTGGCCATGAGGAAATCAGTGGGAGCAGCTGTAGAAGGACCAAGCACAGTGAGGCAGCTGGGAAGACGAGGGTCTGTAATCGCAGGTGCTGGGAAGGGCAGTGAACTGTGAGTACAGCGACGTGAATCATAGATTTAGGTTCTGTCTGTGGTTCTTAACTATGTTCTGGGTTGCAGACTCTATACTACAACTCATTTAAACCATGGATTCCTTGTTCCCATAAAAGGCATACAAAGTTGTCTGCAATTTCAGGGGCCTTAATAAACACCCAGGGTTCCCTGAAACTCATCTTAAGAGTATCTGAATTGGGTGATGAAAGCAGAATTTGGTTAAAAGGGCTATCTAGTATGGCGAACAGCAAAAATATAAATGAAACGTAAGGAGTCCTGTGGGGCTCAAATAGAGTAGTCCCACGCAAAAGAGGTGAGAAATACGTTTAAGTAATTATGGGAAGATAATTGGTGGAAATTGCCTGCTGAGCTGAGAAAGTCAAATTTGATTGGCAATTGATATGAAGTCACTGTTTTTAAGGCAGAGACAAAAGGATATTTCAAACAGTTTATCTTGGTATCTATGTGTAAGTTTGATTAAAACAGATAAACCCACAGGCTATTGAGGAATTGTAGACATCTTCATTTGGAAGGAATCATCACTCATAAAGGGCTAAAAGGGAAAGGAATTGGTTCAAGAGAACTATACAAAAAGCTAAGTACAACCTTAGCTTCTCCCTTAGGTCTAAATTCATCCAGTTATTTCCTTATTAGAAAAATCCACTTAGGTGTCCTGCTGCCACCCCCCTATCAACAAATTTCTAAGTAGAATCCATCATTATATCTAATAAATCTATTATTGCTACAGTAGGC